CTGAGAAATGTTTGGGAATTATGTGTCCTTCCTCTCCAGATAAGGAGCTCCTGGCAGGTGGCTGCTGTTGATGTGGAAGGCAGAAGCTGCCACCACACAGTGTAGGTGGGTGCAGAGAGATGCTGCTCCCACGGACTCTGTGATGCAGCCCAGGGAAGGCAGGATCCTTTCACACAGTGTCCTAAATATAGCAAGTTTTGACATGTGCTGCTGGAGTCCAGCGTGTGCCGTACAAAGGCAGACTCAGAAATGGCTTTTAGAGGGGTTTCCTGGCTGTTCCTGTTCTGGAAGCCACAGGGCAGTGGTGCTCCAGAGCTCGACCTGAAAGGCTAAGGTGGGAACCCCCTTCATATTCAAAGATGTGGAGCTCTTCCTAGAGCTTTCTTGGGAGAAAAAAAGCCTTTTAATGACTTTTCCTGCCTGTTTCTGGAACAGTAAGTAAACATGAGCAAGGCATGTGCATTTCCATTGTGAGCACTAGTGCTTGTTGCAGCTGCTGCTCATCGGCACAAGTGTCTGCTGGGTGAGAGCACAAAGCTGGTGGGGAGGCAGGAGAAATAGATCAGTCTCTAATTAATGAATGAAGTAAAGGCATGGGTGGCTAGGACAGAGCTGTGTTTTCTGGCTCTGCAGTGCCCCATTGACAGAGTTGCACCAAGTCTGTCTTTGCCCCAGTTCCCCAGGCCGTGGGGGAGGAGATGCTGTTCTCATCATTCCAAGTGCTTTGAGCTGAGAGTGACGTGGAGAGCTGCTGAAGTACCCTGTTTGTGCTGCATATTTAGCTAATGCTGGATGCATTTCAATATGTTTCAAGTGCTTAAACATTTTTTCAGTCAAGGCAACCTAAGCCATCAAACCCAAGGCTTCTGCAGAGCACGTGGCCTGGAGCTGTGTCTGTTTTGTTGCCCTGTGTGTAGTGTAGGCTCCAAGATCCTGCTGTTGCCATTGACTTTCTGGGAACGGTATGTCTCTAACAATGTATTGTATCCCCAGGGCCTCAAGAAAATCCTTATTTCTATCTCCAGGAAAATAGAAGTGTTATTAGCTCCAAAATACAAACCAGAATGTAGCAGTATTTTTCCACCAGGAAAATTTTTCTCTCTTGCCAATGTGTTTTTTTTTTTTATGGAGTGAATAAATGCATTTTTAATAACCCTACGGGTGCGATTTAGGCTACTGTTCACTGGAGGGACTACCCACAGAGTTGCGTAAGCTGTGAGGAGATGGATTTTAATAACTTGGTTTGGTTCATATCAGCCATTTCTTTGCTGTCCTATCTCTGCCTCTGGCAGAGTGGGTTTCATTTAGTTTCCAGAGGGGTTGCACACCTTGATTTGATTTCATGCCAAGTTATTGAGCAAAGGTGTGATGTGAGGTTCTATAAAATGTGGAAAGATAAGGTGGGTGGGGGTTTTCCCCCTTTGTGAGCTCTTTTGCAGCAGAGGTGCTCACCAAGAGTAGTTAGTGTCTTTTTATACAGCATTTGTGTGTTAAAGGTGTTAGAGGGTGTCCTGCTTCTGCTGACTCCCTCTGAGCCCCTTGTATTCATTCCCTCACCCTCCTAGGATTGCCAGAGACTCACCCAAGGCACTGCCATGCTTCTGGCTTTCTCAGCATCCCATCAACCTCTCTCCACTGTTGTGCCCTTTCATTTTCGTTAGTGAGCTCTCAGATCCTGCCAGCCTGGGCAGCTCTGAGCTGTGATGCACGGCCTGTGGTGCTCACTTCTGCCTCTCATGCTGCCTCTGCTCTGCCCTAGTGTCCAGAACCAGGTGGATGAAGTCATTGATGTTATGCAGGAGAACATCACGAAGGTGATAGAGAGAGGCGAGCGGCTGGATGACCTGCAGGATAAATCAGGTGCGAGACTAAGTGCAGCTCTGCTGGGCTGTTCCCCTAATCTGTGCCTGGTTGCTGGGCCAGGTTACCTGGTTCAGTCCAGAAAGTGCCTAATGACAGACCTGGGCTTGCATTTCTGTCCTTTCTGGGAGTGCTGTTTTCCATCCTTGGGCTGTAGATCGGACTTTCTGCTCTGCGCAAAGGTGTTAGTTTGGGGGCATCTGGGTGCTCTGGTCGAGTTGGTCCTTCAAGCAAAGGTAGTAGATTGGTCTGTCTCCTGGCACTGTGTGCTGGCTTGCAGAACAGACTCCTGTCCTCAGAGGCAGCCAGCACAAAGGGGGCTCAGTAGGACTCAGCAGGAGTGTGTGTGCTCTAAAGGGCGTCACAGTGGCATCTGCTGTGGCCGTGGTGAATCACACTGTGGTTGGGCCTTTTCCCCTCATGTCAAGTTTAGTGCACAAAGCACAGTGGAGTCAGGACAAGTGAGTGCTCTGACTGTGTGTGTGTCCCTGAGTTGCCTCTTCTCTTTCCTTTAACAGACAGTTTATCAGACAATGCAGCAGCTTTCAGCAAAAGAGCCAAGCACCTTCGGCGCCAGATGTGGTGGCGAGACTGTAAGGTGAGCAGGAACGGGAACAGGCAGGGGTGGGTTTGTGGAGGAGGGTCAGGTTACCTGCTTGCTCCTAGAAGTTGGGAGGGGATGGGGAAGCTCTGCCTTCAAGCTGAAGAGGTGCTGGAAGGCACAGGCCTCCTTCCAGGTGGAAGCAGCTGCCCATGGCACCCTGTGTAACACGTCTCTGTGCTCCTCTTGCAGATGAAGGCAATCATAGCCATGGTGGTGGTCATTGTGCTGCTTGTGATTATTGGTAAGTAGCTCCAGGTCACCCCAGCCATGTCTAGCATTGAAGTATTCATAGTATCATAGTATGTTAAGGGGTTGGAATGGACCTTAAAGATCATCTAATGCCAACCCCCTGCCCTGGGCAGCGACACCTCCCACCAGAGCAGGTTGCTCAAGGCTTTTTCCAACCTGGCTGTGAACACTACCAGGAATGGGACATCTGCAGTCTCCCTGGGCAACCTGTGCCAGTGTCTTGCCAGTTATTCGTGGCACTCCATGCTGTGAATGACACCATGTTGCTGCTGTGACTGGGGGGAGAGCACCCAAACCTGTCCACTGGTCCCACTCTGCCTTAAGCTATCATAGGTGGTGCCTGTAGAGCAGTCTGTGCTCCTTTTCTGCAAGGCTTAAACATGGAGGAGCAGGCTCAAACCAAGTCCTACTACTGTGACCAAGGAGAGCCAGCATTGCCCTGACAACCTTATATTGATCCAGGGTTGGCACTGACAGATCCCAGGGCTGGTGGGAGTAAATGGAAGATTTTCAGACCAGAGACATTGGAAGACATTGTTCTTCCAAAGGCCTCTCCACATATATCAGCCATCTTGCAATGAGCCTGCTGTCTGCAAGTGCTCTTCCCCAGAGCTGATGGGCCACTTCATTTCCAGCAAGTAGCTGTTGTGGCTTTGCTGTTGGTCTCTTCCCCTGCCCTCTGTCCTATCTGGACCTCCCCAGAGCAGAGATGTCACTGCTTTTCCTACCAAACAGCTAATAATGACCAGAGCGTTTCTTCCAGGCAGAAGTATTTCATCCCTCTGCCTGCAGAATGATGTTCCCAGGATCCAGGCAGCCCAGCATGGCAGTGCAGCTCTTCCATGCCATTTGGCCTGGAGGGTGTTCCTCCCACTGCAGTGGCCAGCAGCAGCTTTGTAATTGTTCTTATTACCTCAGCAAAGCCCTCAAGGCCTGTTGCCCTTCTGACACACAGCCTGCAGTGGGAGAGGCAGAGCTGGCAGCAGGATAGAGAGAGAGAGCGACTGATGGAAAATCCCATCTGGTTTAATTTTGGGAAGCTGGAAGGAGATGAAGGTGGCAGGATATGTTGTCTAGCGTGTGTACAGGCAGCAGATTGCTTCAGTTTGAGGTTGGAAACACACTTTTGCTTGCAGCTGCTCAGTGTTTGTCACTGCAGCAATGGGGGACTCTGTCAGGGACGTGCTGCATGTGAAGGTGTGTGCTGACAGCTTGTTTCCTTGTGTTTTCCAGTGCCCATAGTCCTGAAGTACCACACCTGACGGGGCAGCTGGAGGCTTCGCTGGAGCAGCCTCTGGGATAACCAAACTGCTGTGTAATTTAAGTGAGATATCTGTATATAGCTTTGAAGTTGTTTTTCTCCCAGGAACAAGGAGGTGGTGGCAAGCAGCCAGTTCTAATGGAGTGTTTTAAGAACTGCCAAATGACCCTTTTCCCGTCCAGTACCTGTTCCTGCTGTCAGACTTTTTTTCTTTTTTTTTTTTCTAACGGAAGATTCAGATCCCAAACTGCCTGATTTGTGGAATTCTGGGTCTCTGGTTTGGAGCTGGTTACTTGCCACTATATTGTCTATCTGTATATATGGTTGAGTTGTAATATTAATATTAATAATGTGTGAGCAGCTCCCTACTGCCTGCTGTGGAAGGCAGAGGGGACTCTGTCCTGTAACCAGAGAAAAGTGTCCAAAGAGAAACATGCCAATATGTTACAGGGAACTGACTCTTCTGTGGAGAACTGCAAGGGTTTTGTTTCTCTCTTGTTCAAAAAAAAATCAAACCCAGAAAAAAAAGAAATTAGGTTTTACAATCCAGAAGATGTTCTGGTCCTGCCATGGGAATGCACAAGCTCAGTGTTTTCAGTATTGCTGCTTACAGCTGTGACTAAAGACATTCCAGTAAACCTATTTTTGACTGTACATGTGGAGTTTCTGCACGCCTTCATCAAGTTTTGGAGGACATTCAGGGCTCTCCACTGCCAGGAGTCCCCAGGAAAGGGATGTTTCTGTGTCTTCATAACCAAAAGCAAGAGGAGCCCAGCTATTAGCCTGATTATATAAAAGACACAGCAGGGCAAGAGCAAGTCTCCCCAAACAAGTCCACAGAGAACAACCCTACTTCATATTCAGAGCCCTTCACCTTGACATGTGGTCCTGAATGCCAGCCCATTTTGCTTCTTTGTGATCCAGTGGGGTGGGAGTTGTTCCCAGACACATGTTTTGGGGTGCTCAGGGAGGTGTATGGGCCCCTGTGCTGGAATGAACAGGAGCTGAGCTCCTCCACCCATGCATGGTTCTGCAGTGGGTTTTTTGGCTGTCTGCAGCCTTGGTCTCACATGTTGGTGGCATTTTTGTCAGCCCTTTATTTTTGGGGCCCTTGTTCCTTCCAGCCCTGAGCCTGCGACTTTAGCTGAGGTGAGATTAAGTTCTTTTAGTTCTCTCTTTGCTCTTTTCGGTTGAGAGAAGCATTGTCCTGCTTAGCATGTGTTTGAAACAATACTGGAGAGGGGAAATGGTGCCCCAGAGAATTCCCAGTGCCATGTCCCAGTTTCCTCTTCTGAACCTGCCCCCAGGACCCCGTACACAGTTTCCACCTGAGTGGTGGTGCTGCCCCATGCAGAGAAGGGGATTAAGAGTGAGCACAGCAGGCTGGAGGGTTGGATGTGATTACAACCTCTGCTTGCCCAGCTGGAATATAAATAGGGCTTTTCCCCTCTGTGGGCCCTGATCTCTCCAGGTGGGAACCAGAAAGCCAAGCTGAGTTTTTCCTCCTTAAGTATACCCTGGTTTTAAAATCATGCACCAAATGGAAGGGACAAAAATCATCCTGCCTCTGCCTTTGGCTACTCTCTACCTGCAAGGGATCAAGCAGGTGAATGAAGGGGGACTGTGTCTGTCTCCAGGGGGGCTGCAGATCTTGCTGAGCTGTTGGGTACCTTGTCCTGCCAGCTGGAAAGTGAGTTAATTTACTCCTGCTGCTGGAGAGTCCTGCCAGTGCCTCTGCCTTTGCCCAGCCCTGTCTTGCCTGTGCTGCTGCTGCTGCTGCCACCCACAGCAGGACCTTGGGGCCACAAGAGCACGAGAGGACTTCAGATCCCTGCTAGCAGGCACTGGGTCTGAGCAAGAGAAAGGAATTTGGCAGTTGCTTTCTGGGGGCAAAGCCTGGCCCTAATGCTGGGCTAAGGGCCTTGCAAAGTGGGTGCTGGCAGGATGAAGGCTTCACAGCAACACAGCCATGTTAATGGAGTGCTTAGAGCTGCTGGATTTGAGAGCTGCTACACCCTGCCGAGCCCTGTCCTTGCTGGGTTGGGCAGATCTCTGTGAGCAGCATGTCCTTAGGGAGAGTTTCCAGCTGGTGATGAGCTCCCCTCAGTGCAGGCACCAGAGTACTGCCCCAACAAGTGCTACTGTTACACCATTCTGGCAACGCGCCGCGTCAGAAAGGCACAAATGCTTTTCCAGCTGCTCTGGATCCATAGAAAATGAGATGACGAGGTTAGTGCCTCTGATCCTGGACCTTTTGTCTTGTGCCTGTGTCCTCCTGCTACCATGGACTCATCCTGTTGTGCAGGGGTACTGGCCCAAGCCTACCCCAGACAGCTGAGCACAGGCAACAGGCTCTTGCCCTGGGAAAGCTGGAATTCTTCAACTGCTGGAGTGGTTTGCAGCATTCCCAGGAGGTTGGGGTGCAAATGGCTGTACCTGAGATGCAGGTCAGGGAAAGCTGCCCTAACCAAAGCCACCAGCATACTTCCCTGAGATGCCAGAAGTTGGTGTTGATGAGTTTTAGGTTCAGGTCACACTCAGTGCTGGGGTTGTCCTGAGCACACACCTTCCCCATGGGACCAGCTTTGGCTGTGAGAAGCAGCACCAGCAGCAAGTCAACAGGCCTGCTCAGAAACTTCACAGTAATACAATTTACTTAGCAAGTTTTAGATTTTTGTTTTCTTTTTCTAAGCTGAAAAGATCATTAGGAATTTGGTCCTCCTTATGTTTCTTTGCCACTTTTGTCGTTATATTGCAGCCTCTGCTGTCCCACCTTGGACTGGTGGCAGGACAACTGCAGTGAGTGGAAAGGGTGGTTGTTTCCAGCAGTGTCTTCATGATTGGGGTTGGTTTTCACTGAGGAGATGTTATGAAGGAGATTCTACAACGAAAACAACTCCTTCACGCAAGCGTCAGGTCTGGTTTATCCATTCCCTCTTTTTGCAGAAGACAGACCATTAGCTGCTGTTTTCCACATGATTGCTTTTGTACAGGGAATGGCATCTTCTGGCAGGAGCTGTGCATTCCTCCTCCCAGGCTTGCTGGTGTGACCCATTTGGTGCGACCCTGGGGTGCTCATGCCAGGGAGCAGGGGAGCTGCTGCTGCACCCTCCTGAGCCCTGTCCTTGCTGGGCTGCAGGATGGATGTCTGTGCTGTGACATGGGTGGGAGAGGTCTCCTGGCTCTGGCAGCTGGGCAGCCCAGGGGGAAGAATTCCCTTCTGGAGAGTCGCCTTGCAAACCAGGAGCTTTGGAATGGGCTGCCCTGGGAAGTGGTGGATTCACCATCCCTGGAGGTTTTCAAGATGAGACTGGATGTGGCACTTAGTGCCATGGTCTAGTAACCATGGTAGGTTTGGACTCGGTGGTCTTTGAGGTCTCTTCCAACTTGGTTGATTCTATGATTCTAGCGGGGCTGGGAGTTAGGAGAGAGCCTGGCTACCACGGCGGGAGAGCGCCAGGGACCCTCCTGCTGCTGCTCCACAGGGAACTG